GTGTACAGGTAGAACTGTTCAAATATTGTTAATTGTATATAACGTCGTCCAGGAACGGTGATAATAATACACAGAACGGATTAATAATATCTGTCACATGTTGCGGTTCAGACCGGAATATCCGTCCCGAGGGAACCCGCCCATTGGGCGGTAACAAGGCTTGCCGAGTTACCGCCCAATGGGCGGGTTCCGAGGGACGGATATTCCGATCCGAACTGCAATCATATGTCAGATATTTTTTCTTGCATATTCTGCCATATTATTTTATATTTAAAATGGTTTACACCAATATGATATATGTTCATGGAAATTAAAGTCATTTCATCCATAACTATTTTCTTACAATAGAGTATGAACTTACAACTTAAATAACAACGGCGAAATGACGTCATCCTAAGCACATATTTCCCTTCTAAAACGACGTCAATTTAACGCGGTTCATCCATAAAGTGCGGTAAAATGACGTTGTTGTTTGGCACCCGACTCATCTGGAACCCCCCATGCCAGATGAAATTTCCGGCATAGGTAAAACTCATGGAAACGCCAGTCTGCTATGCAAGAAAAGTTTTTCCTCATTTATTTAACAATGTTTATGAATAAATAAATAAATAAATAAATAAATAAATAAATAAAATGAATATTTAGAAATAATTTAAAAAATTATGAGAATATTTTCTACCGAAACAATATATTTTGATATTTTATGTTTTTTAGCTTTTGAATTTATTTTTCGTTATTTTGTATACTTTTGATAATTTTTTGATAAACTATATCGAACGAAGGCACTTAAAGTTAAAAATATAACAGAAAGAGAAAAATGACGTTAGATTTTTTATCACACACCCGTGCCGATTTTGCGACTCCGTAAATATGGTATTGCACGGCCGTGCATATATTTTGACGTGACGTCATTAGCGTTATACAAACATAGTGTAAAGACGCGCTAAATGTTGGCGTTATACTATAGGCGCGTCAATGAAAAATGACTATTATTTCACTTTAAACGGTCTTTATTTTGGGTATGTGATAAATAGAATATTAAATTCGTGTAAGGTCATAACTGAATTTATTGCACTCGTTGAATAAAATAATATTATGCTCGCCAGAGGCTCGCATAATATAATTTTATTCAACTCGTGCAATAAATTCAGTATTGAACTTACACTCATTCAATATCCTCTATCTATGTAACGGTCGATATTCACATTTGAATTTCGACGTTACGTCATGTGACTTTCATCATCATGTGACGTCTTTGAAGGCTGCCAAGGGAGGTAATTACTGTGAGGAGTTTGGGAAACGCCAGACTGCTATGCAAGAAAATAATTTATCACACACCCGTGCCGATTTTGCGACTCCGTAAATATGGTATTGCACGGCCGTGCATATATTTTGACGTGACGTCATTAGCGTTATACAAACATAGTGTAAAGACGCGCTAAATGTTAGCGTTATACTATAGACGCGTCAATGAAAAATGACTCTTATTTCACTTTAAACGGTCTTTATTTTGGGTATGTGATAAATAGAATATTAAATTCGTGTAAGTTCATTACTGAATTTATTGCACTCGTTGAATAAAATAATATTATGCTCGCCAGAGGCTCGCATAATATAATTTTATTCAACTCGTGCAATAAATTCAGTATTGAACTTACACTCATTCAATATCCTCTATGTCTGTTATATGTTGCGGTTCGGAGAGGAATATCCGTCCCGAGGGGTCCCACCCATTAGGGGCGGTAACGTCATTTCTTACATAACTATTTCTTACAATAGCGTATGAACTTACAACTTAAATAACAACAGTAAAATGATGTCATCATAAGCACATATTGCTCTTCTAAAACGACGTCATTTTAACGCGGTTCATTCATAAAGTGCGCTAAATAGAGGATATTGAATGAGTGTAAGTTCAATACTAAATTTATTGCACGAGTTGAATAAAATTATTTTATGCGAGCCTCTGGCGAGCATAATATTATTTTATTCAACGAGTGCAATAAATTCAGTAATGAACTTACACGAATTTAATATTCTATTTATCACATACCCAAAATAAAGACCGTTTAAAGTGAAATAAGAGTCATTTTTCATTGACGCGCCTATAGTATAACGCTAACATTTAGCGCGTCTTTACACTATGTTTGTATAACGCTAATGACGTCACGTCAAAATATATGCACGGCCGTGCAATACCATATTTACGGAGTCGCAAAATCGGCACGGGTGTGTGATAAATTGACGTTGTTGTTTCGCACGCGACTCGTCTGGCACCCTCCCATGCCAAATGAAATTTCCGGCATGGGTAAAACTCACGGAAACGCCAGTCTGCTATGCAAGAAACAGTATTTCGGTCTAACGTTACCTATGCAGATAAATTAAACATGTAAACAAAAAGTAATTAATTTGCTGGGAGTTTTTGACTTTGTTTATCCCAACATATTGAGTAAAAGTCCACCTAAATTAAGTAAATTTATAAATATAAAATTTAACAGTACATTAGTTATATTATAGTTTTGATAGGCTTTACTTGTTTTATAAAAGCTGAAACGAACAGTCCGGTCAGCTCAATAGGTAGAGCGTTATACTAAATCGGGCGACCCGGGTTTGATCATTTTTTCTACGGATTTCTATGGACATGCGCACTGTACCTCTAATCTGGCATGTACAGAAGTTATCAGTTCCTTGCAAATGTGAAGGCAACAATTAATGCTTATTTTGATATACGAAATAACATCTAATCCATTCACAAAAGAAACATCCCGGCTATTAATACATATTAACATCGGACTAAATACGGGTTGAAAGTATTTCTACCATGTAGTTTAAGCATGTAGATTCTATTACGGATGTATATATTTTACATCCAAAGGCAAAGGGTATATTTCGGTAAAATTATCCATTCAAATATGCACACTGACGCACAATTTTAACGGGAAATTTTTACTTTCAGTTTCGAGAAGATGCATTTTTCCATTTATTACTTTCATTGTCATTAAATTAAACCATAAATAGAAAAAAACTTCCACTTTCACTTTCATTTTAAGTTGGTTAATTGCAGTATGCATAGAGGACATGCATATAAAAAGAGAGATCTTTCAAGAAAAATATATATAAAAAATCAACAGTACGTATAACCATCTAAATCTGGACGTTTACCAAATTTAATGTTGTTTGAGGAAATATTAAATCATCAATTGTCAGTTCACGCTCTAACATTTGAGAATCCAATGCATTTAATTTATTGTCTTTTTCCCCTATAAAATGTTTATTATAGGAGATTCATCTATATTTGAATTATCCGTAATAATTTTGTTTTTGAAAATTGAGTACATCTTTCGTATTTCAAATTTCTTTATTGTGTTCCATAACAAATGTTGTTGTTAATTTATATGTAAAATTTCTGTTTTTAAGATTTAAAAAATAAGTACTAGGTTTTCTCCTAAATTTTCGTATCGGCATTTTGATCTTAACATCAGTCCATCTTACTTTCTGTAACATTTCTGAGATTTTCCTTTCATTTAGTGCCACCCCTCCCCCAACACAAGTTTCCTCACTTGAAAAAAATGAGATTTTCTTATATTTGCTTTTCTAATATTTGAATATTTTTTTCTAAATTTTTTTCTAATTTTTCCATGTTTTTTCTGCACTAAATTTTATTATTACGGCTCTAAGAACAACCAAAGAAATTCAAGAAAACTTTGTGGGATAAAATTTTGATCTATATAATTATCTTCAGTGTTATTTTCTGTTTTATTTAAATCAACTAAATTATGTAATGAATTCTTAACTAGATCAATATATGAGTTTTCGGACAAAAGTGGGCAATTAAATTTCCAATAACCTTTCCCCTTCCATTTTCAAATAATTTAATTGTTAACAAAACACCTGAATGGTCTGTTCTATAACCTGTAGTTATTTTACAATTATTAACATAATTAATTAATCATAAATTATCCTAATTTACTTGAAAAACCTTTATTATGCTTGTTTTCTTGTCGGATTTTTCTTTCTTTTCCATGTATATTCTCTTTTATTGCCATTTGAAACACACCGGACGTCGTGTTCAATAGTTCTAAAATACTTTATTTTGCTTGAGGGTTATTGATATTGCTGTAATTTTCATAATCTATTGAGGGATGAATAACAAGATCCCAATCTCGAAAAATTATCACGTTATCATTACCAATTGAAGTACTTTTTGTTATATATTTTCGTAAAAAGCCGGTTTATCATCATTTGGACGGTATAAATTAACGAGAGTAAGTCTGCAGTTCGGCATTAACATATCAAAAATAAGACAAATCTCAATTTCGTCAGTGTAAACATTTTCTACTCACAAAATCATTACTCCTCTACTATAACTTTTCTATGGGCTAACATAGGAGTCGTATCCCTATTCATTTTTAACAAAGGAACATAACTCTTCTTCAATGTGAACATCTTGAAGACATATATTATAGTATTTCCCAGTCCTTGACAGTTTTCTCATCACATATTAGTAAAAAAACAAACAATTTTCTTCCAAACGACCTAAAAACAATAAGAAACTAAATTTGTACGGCCGTTGTATAAACTTTTTGTAGGCGGCATTTCTTATTAGATTACTGAGACTACGAAGAAAATAGTTTCAGGTTTTACTCAGAGAAAATCTTTGTACAAACAAACAAACAAACAAACAAACATATTTGGAGGATGTGGATGGTTGTAAAGAAATATTATATAACTGTTCGTGTGTTTACTTGGTTCGAAACCATTTCGTTTTTGAGTTAATATAAGAAAAGAATGAAAAAAAATCAAAATTATCATGTTGACATAAAAATATATTAACTTTGAAAATGCGTACATGAATGAACAATTTGCAAACATGCACTGACATTGTAAACTAGACTAACAAAACATAAAATAACTGAATGGACATAATATGCATACATTTTTAACAAAATATCTTGGACAGTTTAAGTGTGGTGTAATGTGCTTCATACAAAATGACATACCTTGATATTTGGCTACTTTCTGTTTTCGGCAAAGAAAATGATTCTCTGTATGACTGCCCATCGGTAAGTTCTGAAGGCTCTGATATGGCAGATTTTCTTTTTGCTGAATGTTCTGATTCCAGCACTCTTTAACATACAAAAAAAAGAATACAATAACATGATACAGAAAAAAATATAATAAGCTTTTTAAGAGCGGTAACAATGAAATTCATCGGTAAGCTTGCACATACGAGGATAATCAAGGAAGTTTGTAGAAGTCGGTGTAATACAAATCAAGATTTGTTTACCATTTTAAGCAATGTAAACCTTTGTCAATTGAATAGTAACAGCAGTTCAGTCAACACGTACATTGTTTCTCTTACTTGAAAACATCGAGAAAAAAAATGGAAAACCAGAATATTGAGATCAAAGCATTCAAAAAAATTATTCAGAGGGGCCATATGTCAAAATTCATCGCTTAATAGATGATGAGTGTGGTGATAGAAGCCAAAAGTATTCCACAGAGGCAAAGTGGTTAGCAGAATTTAAACGTGGGCGAGACTCCTTATAAGATGGCCATAGGCAAGGTCACCCTGCTAATGTCAACACTCGGGATATGATCTTTCTATTGAAACACTATTGGTAAAACAACACACTATGGGCTATTTGTTTCATTCCACATTTCCTGGAAATTGATCAGAAAGATTGTTATGCTAATTTGAAGGTCATGTTTGAACTAGGTCCAAATATGGAAAAACCTTGTTTACACTCTAGGGAATACTGTAAATTGGGATTGAGTTTCAAAATCAGGTGAGCAATTTAAAGCAATTATGCCCTCTTGTTTTTAGGATTATGTTCAAGGTTTTTGAATAATTTCTTCGCACGTTCGATCTGAGTCTTAAGGCAATGTTTTCTTTGATTTTGTTTTTCTATCTCTTTTGCGATATTCATGCTAGAATCCGTGAATAAAAACTAAACAAAATATGTTTATCACCCTTACAAATCATTTTGACACAATGATATTTCACATATCTATGTATAAATGAAGGCTACATCTTTTTAAGACAAATTACAGATAGTGTCACATTGTGTCTTGCTTCAGAATGCTTATACATTCCATTATAATTCTTGAAAACTATATCAAGGACGATTTCCTTTGAATGTTGTGGACTATGAGGAATGACCCTGAATTACATCAAATTTGATTGTAAGTTTGATCATTTTCATGTTGTCTTCATTAGATTCAATCGTGTATAAAGTTAAATGCTCCATTTATTTAAACTTAAAATATTATTTATTGAATATCGTCCAGTGCCTTAAAGGCTCGTCTTAAATAACCAGCGGCGTAGCTGATAGAACGCGATGTACTTGAAAATTTTATAACATGCTAAAGTGCCTTAAACATACATTCATTGTGTCAAAAATTCACCAAAACTTGATGTAAAACCTGAAAAAACATCAAACTTAAATTTCCTGTCATTTAAAATTTGGGTTCATGTGAAATCATGTTTGAACGGTTTGTAGTTTCTACATTATCCATTAACGTTGTCATCAAATCGTCCGAAAAAACGGTGTTTTCATGAATATTTGTCAAGTTTGGAAAGACTCGATTAGAAACAGATAAAATAAAAATGTAACCTGAAACAAATATAAGCAAGTAAAAAAAAACATTGTGCAAGTTGCACAAAGGTTTTACAGAGAATCACAGGCACGAGTATCGGACCTGGGAAGAAAAAATATGACCAGATTTGACACTTTTAAGATGACACAGGTTTTTTTTATCAATCTGGTCATATTTTTTCTTCCCAGGTCCGATACTCGTGCCTGTGCAGAGAATTTGAAATCTTCAAAAATAAAAAAACAAACAAACAAAATCTGACCCATTTTTTTTTAAAAATTTTACCCACAGGCACGAGTATCGGACCTGGGAAGAAAAAATATGACCAGATTGATAAAAAAAACCTGTGTTCATCTTAAAAGTGTCAAAAAAAAACAAAACAAAAATGTAAATAATGACCCCCTTTGAAAATATACTATAAGTTAAGAGAAGGCCGGAAACTCCAGATTCGAGCCTACGAGCAAGGGATTCATTTCCCGGGCCGTTGTGAAAACAATTGGCCAGACAATTAAAAAAAACTTTTATCACTATTTCACGTTTATATTAAGCTTCAAAATGAGACCAACCCCAAGTCTCTAGCCCTTCCCGTTCATGAAATATCTATCAGGAAACGAGCGAATTCGTGCTGAAAATCCTTGGTAGACAGAATTGCGGCACAACAATTCGATACGTAAACATAGACTAATACATGTATGTCAGCTGAGTATGGGTCAAAATCACTTGAATTTACTAAATGATATTACTAAATACATTAAGTTGGACCACTCACAACCGTCAGTAGCATCTGATACACGCAAAATTCGAATTTCAAACCTTTCCACGGTCTTTAGATTACTTTCTACGCCATTGTCAATCAGCTGTTCGATATTTTGTAACGAGTCTTCTGATTGGCCAATAGCAACGAAAACCGCAACGTTTCACACAAGGATGCCTAATGGCGTAGAAAGCGATTGAAAGACCGTGTAAATGTTTGAAACTCGAATCTCGTGTGTATCAGATGCTACTGACGGTTGTGAGTGGTCCAACTTAATGTATTTAGTAATATTATTTAGTAAATTCAAGTAATTTTGACCCGTAGTCAGCTGACATACATGTATTAGTCTATGTTTACGTACCGAATTGTTGTGCCGCAATTCTGTCTACCAAGGATTTTTAACACGAATTCGCTCGTTTCCTGATAGATATTTCATGAACGGGAAGGGCTAGAGACTTGGGGTTGGTCTCATTTTGAAGCTTAATATAAACGTGAAATAGTGATAAAAGTTTTTTTTAATTGTCTGGCCAATTGTTTTCACAACGGCCCGGGAAATGAATCCCTTGCTCGTAGGCTCGAATCTGGAGTTTCCGGCCTTCTCTTAACTTATAGTATATTTTTAAAGGGGGTCATTATTTACATTTTTTTGGGTTTTTTGACACATTTAAGATGAACACAGGTTTTTTTTATCAATCTGGTCATATTTTTTCTTCCCAGGTCCGATACTCGTGCCTGTGATTTTACCTATCCAATAGAAAACTAATTCTTAAAATAAATAAAATCTCTTAGAATCTAAGACGAATGAAACAGTTACTTTCAAATCTATTTAAAGACAGCAACGGTGAAAACAGACTACTTCATAAATAAATAAGGTTATTTTCGCATATGTTTGTTTTGTCTAAAACCTAATTTCATCACGCACTATTTTTAGTTGAATGAAAAATATATATATAAAATATTTCAATTTACGCGTGTAATTTTTCTCCACAATCAAGCAGCAGTTCAAGAGTAATAGGTTTAAGCTACTAGCACACTTATGGAGAGCAACACCTGAAATATTTCCATGAAAGGGCTTCAAGATCATTAATTACCTAACGAGATTATAGGAATCAAAATCGACCTTGTTGTGCGTACAACGTCAAATACCGGTACATGTACGTTGAATCCCTAGTCAACACTAATGACGTTATCAAAACATTTAGATTGTGTTGTATTTGCGTATACTCATGTGTTAATCATAATGTGCTTAATGTTTATAATTTATGTTTTCTTGTAAAGAGGATAACGCATGATATAGTGATTGTTATATAAACTTCTAACAGTTATTATTGAATTTAAGGCATAATTCCAGGTAATTATGGATAATCCCTTATTAACAAAGGTTTTTAAAATTATAGTTAAATACATAAATCTTTTTGTGTGCGACATATAAAGTTATGTATTGCAAAATACTCTCATGCGAATAAACAAAAACTAATTTCTTAAAACAAAACAACTCACCTTTTGCGCTTCATAAGTGTCCCTTGTTTGGCTGCACCTTCTTCTTTTAATTGATTTACTTGTAAATCTGTAACATTTTTTGTTTCTATTTTAGATGGAACTTTTTGCAAAAGCAATTCGATAGATCTGAATATTAATCTGAATATTAAAGATATTAGAAAAAGAAACACAAAAGCATTTATCCACCACATTATCTCCATAACATTCAATCTTCCTAAATATGTTCAGTATGTCGTCGTAAATAAAGTGTATGGCTGATTGTGACAGTGACATAAATAACAGCTTAACGGTTAACTGATCCTTCTGTTGTCTTTATAAAGCTTTAAACGACAATGTGAAAGAAGCAGTGCATATAACTTCCTTAAATATTTTTTTAAATATTATAATGTTAATAATCAGCAGGGGCGTTCATGCAAATCGAGTTTACTTTCACTTTCGATTTTCAACTTCCGGGTACATCTGCAGATATTTAGGTAGCACTCCACAGTTAATTTCAAGTTCCTGCCGTCAATGTCAAACAAGCAATATGTCTATTAATTCTCATACCAAACTTCACAAACTGGAAAAAGAAAACACATTTTGTTGAGAACATATATGACATAAGATTGAAAATCTACAAAGAAATTATCCCATCTACTATAGGCAGGCAGTCAAAAAAGTTGCAATTCATTCCGTTGAAGCCCAAAATCTACAGTGGCCCGAGACCCAAAACAACACATTTCGTCCCTCTGGCAAAAAATACCTGCAAATATACAGGCTAAAGGAACACCGTCTCTGCTTTAGCAACTCCCTATACATGCAAAATATCACAAAGAAACTGGTGCTCAACCTTGTAGATTTTTTGCTACTGCTAAAAGTTTGTACCCCCCTGTAAAATGACTTGTTTTTACCGTGCATGCTGTTTAAAAGCAATGTTTACAAAAAATGGCGGCCTTGACATCTATAATCAACAGCATGTGATTTCTGGCCATGTTTTCGAATTTGCCAGTGATCATATTAGATGTCACAAAAACAAATTTCATGCTGAAAATGCACTTTAAAGCCAACCAGTCATATAAATCCAGAATATTCACTATATCCAAGATATCCTCCCTGGCCATTCGAAGCTGTGGCTTACATTTCTGTGGTGTGCTACCGTACCGTTACGCATATCGGTAACCTCGAAGAACGCGAGAGATACAGACGTAAAATTTGTTTCTGTCCTCTTTGAAGGAATAGAAAGCACGGGTCGAAAGAGGCTTAGCTTTTAGTATTACTATTAAAACTACTGATGTGAAATTTATTCAAACCATATTTACTGATTGAAATAAACCATGGAGAAACACTTTAATTCTAGTGTTTATTAAAGTTTTACCAAATTCGGAAATTGCACAGTAATTCGGGTATTTCTTTCTCTTCCATTTTGATCAAGATGTCAATTACTTAGATTGGTATAATAAAACCAAGGTCCCAAGTTATGTCTTTAATAATTAAAATAGATGGATAGATCATAGATTTATGCAAAGTTTAATTGTATTGTTCCATTTCTTACTATGGAGAATTGTATCTTTGTGGGCAAAGCACTTACACTGATATTCTGTTCCTTTTTCAATTATATTTACATGTGAATATGGTACCTAGGAAATAATGATTGAATTAAAAAATGTAATATATGTATTAACCATTTCAGATGTAAGGACACTGGGGTGTATGACAATAATAGAATATACAGTTGTTCACAATGGACCATTAATCAACTGTTTGCTGTGCCTATGATACTCAAATATCTATACATCAAAGGTAAATACATGTAAAGTAATTGATACTTTTTGAGTTGATATTGTGCAGATAAAATAGAGAATCCCTAAAGAAAGCCCAAAACGACAAAATTGAAAATGTTTCAGGCTCGGTTTGATTGAGCCTGTTCATAGACGGTACTTGAAAGTGAAACCTACCATCCACATCCCCTAGCACTGGTTTTAGCAGAATTCAACATTTAAACAAGAAATGGTAAAAAATTTGAATTTAGAAACATCCGCAGATGTGTTTATGCGGTGGTCATCATCGAACCTTCAATGTGACACTTCCGTGCTATTTAATGAAAAGCGGAGTTCGTCCCCAAGTAATAGAAAGCATGTGCCCTAAACGAGATAACAATGGGTGGAACTAAATAAAATGGAATTTTGAAAGGGGATCAGAGGTTATGAAGCCTGCATATCACAGACAAGACGTCAAAAGACAAAGTTAACAAGCAGGCAACATATCCTAATGGTGATTATACAGTAATCAAGTAGGAATACTGGAACCACCCAAATTAATAAGGGCCAAAACGAAGAAACTTAAAATACCACATAACATGTATACACAACAATAATTTCATGCTGAGATCTTAAGGATCAAAAATATAGCATCATTGATTAAATGTTCTTACAAACGTACTTACAAAGTACTGAATCCTGCTTCTTAAGGTATCCTCGAATATCTAAAGACTAGAATGCAACATGGTCATACGACTCGCCAAGATACGACTGACAGTTTATCTATTAATGGCAAGTAGTTTTCAGACAATCTACTTTTACAGTAGTGAAATAATTTTTCACGAAAGTGGTCGCCTAAGACCGGTCTCTATCACGCTTTTCACTGCCCAAGAAGGACCTATACTTTTCGTTGAGAGGTCTTTCACATTGTTTTTATATTTTCTTTATACTGTTATTGCATGCATGTTTGATAGTTTTGATAATCCAGCTTGGAATTATCTGTGCTGCAACTGGTCTATGAGGTTTGTTAAGCGAAATAAATAGTTCAGTAACATCAGATTATGCACCTTTATTTCTAAATTGTTCCGTAAATGCACAGCCAAACAGCGTTTTTGGGATCTAATAATTTGTTTTTTGGAAAGGCCGGAATGAACACAAATATAGGAACATGATTTGGTCTGGCCTATTTGGAAAGTCCTTGTCTTATGAAACTTTTACATTTACTTTGTATGTTTACATTTCCCTCACCAAGCTTAAGAGATTCCAGATCACTACATTGTCTGACAGATGTTACAGCAATATGGAAGCTTGTTTTCCATGCAAGATGCTTCAGGGACGCTTTTCTCAAAGGTTCAAAAGGGGTCTCTGTTAGTGCCTGTAAAACAAACAGTAAATCCCATTCAGGAACAAGCTTTTTTAAAGGTGATCTTTCATTAAATACACTTTTTAAATGCTTTATGACTTAAGAGTGATGTCCAACAGCAAAGTTGTCAACCCTTGGTAAAACAGAAGATACCATAGATCTATAGCCAGATGAATATATGCAGAACCTGCAAAAAAATTCAGATAAGAAATTTACGCATTGTTCTAGAGATGCTGTGTATGGATCAATTTGTTGTTCAATACACCAATGAATGAAAATTCTTAACTTAGAAATATAGTCTTTCTTAGTGCCATTTTGCCATGAGGCGGCCAGTAACTTCCTAGATTTCTCTGAAAAGCCTCTTGTTTCATAGTATCTATCGATATAGGCCATGCAGTCAGATTTAGAATAAACCTCTGGTTGATGATATACAATTCTCCCCTTGACTTGAGACAATAGATCTGATTGAACGGGTAGTATGAGAGGTTCTGCAATCAATATTTGCAAACAAATCGGAAACAAATGTTGACGCGGCCAATTTGGTGCAATTAAGATTAGAGTACACATATATATTTCTGCATGTGTTGTACGCGGTATCAACTGTATCATTGGAAATGCAAAGGCATACATGTTTGTCCATGCGATTGAGAGGGCATCCACTGCATATGCTGCTGGGTGAAAAATCCAGGTACAAAACAGTTGTGGCTGTTTGTTTTCTACTATCGCAAACAGATCCATCATTGAAAAAGCCAAGATGTTTAATTTTTTCTCATAATTGTTTTGTTCAAGGACCACTCTGTCTCATTTACTCTGTATCAGCTTAGAGCACCTGCCAGTCAATTCTTGTCTCCAGCTATATGAGCTGCTTTCATTGACATGCCATTGGCTAGTGCCAACGTCCAAAGGTCCCAAGTTTTCTGGCAGAGATTCAGATATTTCGTACCCCCTGTTTGTTGATGTATTGTACAACTGTCATATTGTCTGAGTTTATCAACGTCCTTGCATAGTAAAATTAGTCATATATCCACTCCAACCCCATTTACTGCTTGAATCTGTGGACTTTGTAGATAACAGCAGCCCTTGAGAATGTTCACTTCCTGGAAACACCACTGTAGATGATTTTTAGCGAAGGTGTAACTGATATTAGATGTGAAAAGGACATTCTCATTGGACTCCAATTCTGCAGCAAATGAAGTTGGACCGGTTGCATGAACAACAATGCATTTGGTATCAGATCCGGACAAGAAGCATTTTTGCCTAGAAATATCAAATAGTCCCTGGCTGTATTCTGAACTAAAAGTAAATTTTTGCAGATATTTTCAGACCCACAACCCCCTCTGGAGTTGGAAATAAACCCCCCTTTAGTAATTACTGATTGTTTAGGGGCCAAGATTGGATTTCTTTTTGTAAACTACAAAACCTAGTTCTAAAAGAAGATTCAGCGATTCTGAATGAGATAATGTTTGGACTGATTCATTGATAACCAATAACCTAGGTAAGTTAATAGGTGTATGCTTTGTTTTCGAAGATGTGCCGCTACTACTGCTGTGATTTTTGTAAAACTCTTGGAGCTACTACTGATGGTCCAAAGCATAGTGCTCTGAATTGGTAAACTTTTCCCTTGTAACAAAAGCGAAGATTTTTCCGACGCTTTTTGTGAATAGGGATGTAAAAATAAGCATCCTTTAAATCTAGACTGAATGCCCAATCCTTTTTTCGAACTAGATTTAGCACTTTTTTATGGTAACCATCTTGAAATGGTTTTTCCTGAGATACATGTTGACGGGTTTGAGATTTATAACTGGTCTCATTTCCCCATTCTTTTAGGTTACCAGAAATAATTTAGTGTAAAACTTTTTCATAGTCGGATGGACTATTTCTATAGCATTTTTTAAGCTCCTGATTTTCTATACTGATTAAATTTGAAACTCTTGAATTTACATTTGTATGTTTGGTGCCCAAAAAACGGTGGCTTTTTTTTATATATTCCAGTTTGTAGCCATTTTGAATAATATCTAAAACCTTTTGATCGTTTTTATTTTTTGCCATTCTGCAAAGAAATGATTGAGTCTTCCCCTAACAGGCATCTCTGGAAATTTGCTATTGTTCTTACCGAGTCATTTTCTTTCTGGTCGCCCACGTTCTCTACCAATAGATTTGGAGGTATCTGAACGGTTTGATTTACCATAGCTAA